CTGAATCTAAACTTCTCAAGCCAGCAAGCAAAACCCCGCGAATTCCTTAGGGTGGTGCCAGTCTCATCTTCTTAACCTTCCCATGCTCCTGCTGGGGGATAAGGCAATGCTTATCTCCCCGAGTGTGGCCTTCACCAAACCATTCTATCACACAGGGGCTCCAACTACTGTAATCCAACGCCTGAGAGAAGAGCTAATGAGGGGACTGTGGCTGCATACCCTAGTGGGAGGGTGTCCCTGTAATAAGATTATGGAGTGGATTGGGAGTCTGTGGAACGTATTTAGTGATATCTGGTTGAGTTGGGGACCAGTGCATGTGGCATCACCAAATTGCTGGTTTCCAGTGGTTGGGTGAGGCCCTGAAATAATAGCCAGAATGACTGTGAGGCTTAGAGTGTTGGTTGGCGCTTATCACTGCAAGCATATCAGATTGTGCTTTGGGCCTCGCAATAGCTTCTTATTGGCTTCTGGTGTTGGCTTTAACCTATACCGCCCAATATGGCTTAGCACTGAGGTAGCTGCAGGACCATTTTCTCCAGTCAGAATCAGCCTGTCCAATCTGAGAGTATCCCAGAAGAAACAGCTGCTGGTCCCTGATTTCTGTGAGGTGAGATATGCTGAGGCTTGCAACCACCATCTTTTTATGGATGCACCTTTCTTATGGGAAAGCCTCCTTCTAGGAATTAGCCTTGTCCCCACTTTCTTGGCTTTCTATAAACTATTAAAGACAGAACTATTTTGGAGAGCTTGTGGTGAATAAACATGTCCCACTGGGTTGTGAGTTTTAATTATTTGTTATAGTATTGCTGATTTTAGTTTATCATGAATGCTTTGGTAAGCATTATGTTATTTTTTTGTTACTGTGAACTACTGAGAGACCAAATGATTGCAATAGAAGAACTGAACTGAACTGAACTGAACTGAAATGAAATGAAATGAATACACTTACTTATCAGAAGGGCATGTACAGTGCATGGCAGTTGCATAGCAATTTATATGGAGTGGTACAATAGGGTAGCCTGCTGGCAAAATAGTGCAGAATCTTTAGTTCTGGGAAAATTGTTTTTCCAATAGTGGTAGTTTAAGTAAAGATATAAAATACAGTATTTGAAAAGGTTTATGAATGAAAGGGGCAGGTTTCTTGTTCCTTATCATAGCAGTATTAACATTTAGCATTTGCTAAATTGCAAATGTGCATAAGTGTAACTGAAGTGTTAACTTGGTCACATTTTTATGTATTATTGTGTTATTGCTATTGTCTTTTAATAGATATATTGTAAACTGCATAGTTCAGTTGGATTGAGGTGGTGTATCAATTTCATAAATATAGTATGGAAGTTTTCAATTTTCCTGATGAAATTTAATCATAGTTATGTTTCTGAGCAAAATGGAATTTTAGTAGTTTACTTTTTAAAGTTAAAAAGTCAAATATAAGATTGTTAAACAGCGTTTAAACTTTCATAACCTGATTGTCCAACCTCTTTATAGCTTCAGAGAAAAATGGAAAAGTCAAGTTTGGCAACCATAGAAACCGTTTTCAGTGCCTTACAGTTGTAAAATTTTAAGTAGCGCTAATGATAATATTTGAATATTCAGATTGATCTTTGCCTTAGTTACAGTCATGAAGTTGATCTTCATTTTGGTTCTGGTCACTTTAGTTAAGGCTTATTTCTAGGAAAATGTTTCCTACGGTTGTGTCTCTAGGTGCTTAAGGATGGGAACATAATGTGACTGCATTATTTATCTGGGGAATGTCAGGTTCAGCCCAAAGAACTCCAAGAGACAATGCAAATACAGTTCTGTTGCATTTATTGGCTTCAGCCTCAGGACAGAAATCTCACCAGACGGAACCTTAGTTCCCAGGCCAGCCAGCCACAACACCGTGAATTCTTTAGGGAGGTGCCAGCCTCATCTTCTTGAACTTCCCACGCTCCTGTTG